GAAGAGAATTCTGAAATCCAAATGAACTGATTGTGGGAGCTGGCTAGTCAATACAGGGTATGTCCCCCATTCGCTCTCTCCACAGCCCTTGTTTTCCTTGGCATGGAGTTCATGAGTGAGTTTATCCTCCTCATTGGGATGTTGGCCCATTCTTCCAAGAGGATAGCTCTCAGTTGGGTTAGAGGGGAGGCTGGTGTCCTAGATCCTGTCTATCCAGCTTGCCCCACAAGTGCTCAATAGGGGAAAGGTCGGGGTTGTATGGCGGCCAGTTCAATGGGTGGATATTGTTGTTAACGAGAAAGTCGCGACAGATCCTCGCTACATGGGGCCGGGCAATATCCTTCTGGAATGTGAGGTTGTATTGCTGCAATAATGGGACAACCTAAGGGTCAGAGAATGTCATTTCTATACCTAGCGGTAGTTAAATAACCCACTACAACTACCAGTGGTGATTTAACTCCATGTGAGAACAAGGTGAACCGAGGCTCGTCAGTAAACAAGGCCTGCCTCCATTGCCTCAATGGGAATGCTCTGGAGCACTGGTAAGAGGCAGATCTACGGGTGACATGCCCACAGACCAAATTCCCGTAATCGTTTCCTTACAGTTTTTGCAAGGATAGAACAGTTATGAGTTCCTATGGTATGGAGGGCAGACTCAGTGGCAGTAAGGTGACGATTGCGAGATGAATAAACCTGTCCTGACATTGTGACATCACGCACGGACACTCAGACCTAGGTCTGTCGGCAACCCGTTCAGTTTCCCTTTGATGTCTAACAAGATGTTCTATAGTGCTAATATGGACACCGATATGTCTGGCAACCTGTATTTGCCTTTGACCTTGCATAATCATCGCAATGGCTTGACCCCTCTGAACTTTCGTCAGCCGTGCCATTGTTTAATACTATCAGAAATTAATTAAAATATTGGAAAATGATATGTCTCTTTGAAGACTAACTAATGGTATTATTACAAGCACTGTAACTCAATGTCACAACACTGCTGTGCACGAGATTTTCCCGTTTCGTACTTTCCAGGGAAGATATCGTCACACAGTACAATAATGCATCATTTGATACAGGAACACGTGCACTGCAACCTAGAGAGTTGCTGACCAACGTGAATTGTTTTTGAACAACGCAAGATATTGTAAATAATGCCACCCTCTGTTTCTTTATCCCTCGAGTATATATGCAAGTAAGAAAATGTGACAGATCGTGGATGTAGGTTGTTTAGCTGCTTAGTCCACACATCTGGTAACTGTGTATTACACTGTTGTGACTATGTTCTGAAGCTTAGCAATGCAGAGCAAGGTCAGTTGCTGGATAAGTGACTGCTCGGCATACCCCAACTATATAAACAAAGTGTTAAATTTAAAATTCACACACAAATATGTAATAATGGTGAAAATGTTGATAAAAGTTTTCCAGACTCACTGAGTCTGACCGGTTCATCCCGAAGTGTGTTCATGTAAAAACAGTGGTAATCATTTATTTCAATGCTCTGCGACGTATCAAACTAGGGACCTCTGGATTACTAGTCTTACATTCAACTCAATGAGTGCAAAATAAGATCTATCTCTGGCTGGTAAATTGTGGCTAGTATTTACCAGGATTCTCCCATTCCAGGCGATGCATTCCTAGTATTTACAGGGGTTGTAATCCTGACCCTACTATAACTGCAGTCTAAAGACCTTGTTCATTTTCTCATTGATTTACAATATATTTTAGGACAGCTTTTCTGTTTTCTTTAGATTAACGAGGATAAAAACAGTTGGTGAATAATAATCAAATAGTTTTGTTCCAAAAATGCATCAGTTCTGTCATGTGATTATTATCTGCTAATGTTTCCAGACCTCTCGCTAACTAAAGCTAGTTTATCATGTTTTATAATGTGATCAAACTAACGAGAAATTCTTCTTGAATGATAAAAAGAACCAAGTATTTACCAAAGTAGTAGATATAATTCCCTTGCAGAAAGACACCGTCCTAAAGTTTTCAAAATGTATCAGTAAAACTTGGAAACAAGGCTATTGTATGTTATACCATTGATACTTATACAAGACTGCCTGGGTCAGCACCTCTGTATGTCATACCATTGATATTTATACAAGACTGCCTGGGTCAGCACCTCTGTATGTCATACTATTAGCACCTTTGTATGTCATACCATTGATACTTATACAAGACTGCCTGGGTCAGCACCTCTGTATGTCATACTATTAGCACCTTTGTATGTCATACCATTGATACTTATACAAGACTGCCTGGGTCAGCACCTCTGTATGTCATACCATCGATACTTATACAAGACTGCCTGGGTCAGCACCTCTGTATGTCATACCATTGTGACAAGACTGCCTGGGTCAGCACCTCTGTATGTCATACCATTGATACTTATACAAGACTGCCTGGGTCAGCACCTCTGTATGTCATACCATTGTGACAAGACTGCCTGGGTCAGCACCTCTGTATGTTATACCATTGATACGTATACAAGACTGTCTGGGTCAGCACCTCTGTATGTCATACCATTGATATTTATACAAGACTGCCTGGGTCAGCACCTCTGTATGTCATACCATTGATACGTATACAAGACTGCCTGGGTCAGCACCTCTGTATGTCATACCATTGTGACAAGACTGCCTGGGTCAGAACCTCTGTATGTCATACCATTGATACTTATACAAGACTGCCTGGGTCAGCACCTCTGTATGTCATACCATTGATACTTATACAAGACTGCCTGGGTCAGCACCTCTGTATGTCATACCATTGATATGTATACAAGACTGCCTGGGTCAGCACCTCTGTATGTCATACCATTGATATGTATACAAGACTGCCTGGGTCAGCACCTCTGTATGTCATACCATTGATACTTATACAAGACTGCCTGGGTCAGCACCTCTGTATGTCATACCATTGTGACAAGACTGCCTGGGTCAGCACCTCTGTATGTCATACCATTGATACTTATACAAGACTGCCTGGGTCAGCACCTCTGTATGTCATACCATTAGAACCTCTATATGTCATACCATTGATACTTATACAAGACTGCCTGGGTCAGCACCTCTGTATGTCATACCATTGATACTTATACAAGACTGCCTGGGTCAGCACCTCTGTATGTCATACCATTGATACTTATACAAGACTGCCTGGGTCAGCACCTCTGTATGTCATACCATTAGCACCTTTGTATGTCATACCATTGATACTTATACAAGACTGCCTGGGTCAGCACCTCTGTATGTCATACCATTGATACTTATACAAGACTGCCTGGGTCAGCACCTCTGTATGTCATGCCATTGATACTTATATAAGACTGCCTGGGTCAGCACCTCTGTATGTCATACCATTGTGACAAGACTGCCTGGGTCAGCACCTCTGTATGTCATACCATTGATACTTATATAAGACTGACTGGGTCAGCACCTCTGTATGTCATACCATTGTGACAAGACTGCCTAGGTCAGCACCTCTGTATGTCATGCCATTGATACTTATATAAGACTGACTGGGTCAGCACCTCTGTATGTCATACCATTGTTACTTATACAGAACTGCCTGGGTTAGCACCTCTGTATGTCATACCATTGATACGTATACAAGACTGCCTGGGTTAGCACCTCTGTATGTCATACCATTGATACGTATACAAGACTGCCTGGTTCAGCACCTCTGTAGCAAATATAGGTAGCAGGAAAAGTTAATTTGCATTTTTCCTGAAATTATTTGTCATGTTTGAGATATACAGGTATAGCAGATTGGTTATGAAAAATACATCATTACCTGTATATATATCTATTTACTACATAACAGTTATAATAATAGTAGAGAGATGAAATTTGTATAAAAAAAATTTCCCTAATTTCTAACATGCGATTGCCATGATTACCAATTCGAAAAATGCTAAAAATGCTAAAAATAATACTGTTTCCAACCTGACACCACAAATTTATGGAAGAAATTAATTTCTGAACACCTGTCTTAAAATCAACAACACTCATGCTAACAAACTACTTACATTTCATCAAGTTCCAACTCAGTCACCTTTATAACATGACCATATGCAGAAATTTCACTTCCTGTAAAGCTATTTTTTTGTGTGTAGACACAGATTCGAGACTGCCTAAATAACAATCACCAACACAATGCAAAAATATTATTCTGAAAGATATGAAACCCCATATTGTCCACTTCTTACATGAAAAGACAATGTTTAGAAAGGATTTATTTTTTAAAATTTTAATTAAATAATAGGGTAATAAAATGAACAAAAATCTCACCCATGGCCACACAGAGAAACTGTGTACTGTACCAGAGGCAGGGCTCTCACACCCCATTTTGGGACTTGGGCCCAGGGCCCTTAGCAGAATTGGGAAAACTTAGGGTCTAAATTGGGAAAAAAAGATACTATTTTGCATTGGGAATGGGGCCAAATATCGGCCCCCAATCTGGCAGATCAAGAGCCCTGAGAGTTAAAATATGTTATTGATTTGAAGATTTATTTCTTGCAATTAGTTGTGATTCACAACTTTGTTATCACCTTCAAACTGATCAATCAAACATTTATACTTTTGTGTTTTACAGATCAATAACTGCTGGGTGAGATCCCCATCATTCCTTATGTGGATTCTATAGCAGGTCTGGACCACGAACATCTCATTCTGGACGATGGATTCTGTGATGAAATTGGTGGGTACCAAAAACAATAAAAAACAATTTGAGACAGATATTTTCTAAATGGAGTCCTTTCAAATGAAATTTGGCTCTTCTGTTAAAGTAATTTTTGTAGGCTTTTTATTTCAGGTGAGTCCTGAAAAGTAAGTCCAAAATTTTTATGAATCCTAAAACACAAAGATATATAGTTGGTTTTCAAAATTTGAGTGGGTCCTACAGGAAAACAATGAATCAAAGGCTCAAAATATCTAAGTCACCGCTGTATAGTTTAAAATGAGTTCATGGAAATTAAATGTCCTATTTAATCTCTATGCTTCAAACAGCTTCAGGTGTGAGGATGGGACGTAGGGGTGAGGAATGAGTGGGATGTGAGGTTGGCATGTAGGGGTGACGAATGGATGGGGTGTGGGGATGGCATGTAGGGGTGACGAATGGATGGGGTGTGGGGATGGCATGTAGGGGTGAGGAATGGGTGGGGTGTGGGGATAGCATGTAGGGGAGAGGAATGAGTGGGGTGTGGGGATGGCATGTAGGGGTGAGGAATGGGTGGGGTGTGGGGATGGCATGTAGGGGTGACGAATGGAAAGAGTAGGTTCAGGCGAATGAAAGAAGGTGAGAGGAATGGGTGGGGTGTGGGGATGGCATGTAGGGGTGAGGAATGAGTGGGATGTGAGGTTGGCATGTAGGGGTGAGGAATGGATGGGGTGTGGGGATGGCATGTAGGGGTGAGGAATGGGTGGGGTGTGGGGATGGCATGTAGGGGAGAGGAATGAGTGGGGTTTGAGGATGGCATGTAGGGGTGAGGAATGGGTGGGGTTTGAGGATGGCATGTAGGGGTGAGGAATGGGTGGGGTGTGAGGATGGCATGTAGGGGTGAGGAATGGTGTGGGGTGGCATGTAGGGGTGAATGGATGGGGTGTGGCATGGTAGGGGTGAGGAATGGGTAGGGGTGGGAATTGGGGTGTGGGGATGGCATGTAGGGGTGAGGAATGGGTGGGGTGTGGGGATGGCATGTAGGGGTGAGGAATGGGTGGGATGTGAGGTTGGCATGTAGGGGTGAGGAATGAGTGGGGTGTGGGGATGGCATGTAGGGGTGAGGAATGGGTGGGGTGTGAGGATGGCATGTAGGGGTGAGGAATGGGTGGGGTTTGAGGATGGCATGTAGGGGTGAGGAATGGGTGGGGTGTGAGGATGGCATGTAGGGGTGAGGAATGAGTGGGGTGTGGGGATGGCATGTAGGGGTGAGGAATGGGTGGGGTGTGAGGATGGCATGTAGGGGTGAGGAATGGGTGGGGTGTGGATGGCATGTAGGGGTGAGGAAGGGGTGAGGAATGGTTGGGGTGTGAGGTGTGAGGATGGGTAGGGGTGAGGAATGGGTGGGGGGTGTGAGGATGGCAGGTAGGGGTGAGGAATGGGTGGGGTGTGAGGATGGCAGGTAGGGGTGAGGAATGGGTGGGGTGTGAGGATGGCATGTAGGGGTGAGGAATGAGTGGGGTGTGAGGATGGCAGGTAGGGGTGAGGAATGGGTGGGGTTTGAGGATGGCAGGTAGGGGTGAGAAATGGGTGGGGTGTGAGGATGGCAGATAGGGGTGAGGAATGAGTGGGGTGTGAGGATGGCAGGTAGGGGTTAGGAATGGGTGGGGTGTGAGGATGGCAGGTAGGGGTGAGGAATGGGTGGGGTGTGAGGATGGCAGGTAGGGGTGAGGAATGAGTGAGGTGTAAGGATGGCAGGTAGGGGTGAGGAAAGGGTGGGATGTGGGGTATGGCAGCTTTAACACGATTTCTTTAATGACTATATTTATATCTCTGGAAACTAGAGTAAATGATATATGGTATATGTATAGTGGATAAATAGCTTCCTGACTCCTCCCTGGAAACAGGAAAGATTGCAGAGGATCAAAAATAAGGTTCAGATCAGAAACAGCAAATCTATCACAGGTTTTGACACCTTTAGGTGTGTGTATTCTGGATTTACCTCAGTGACCCTCTAGGTTTGTACAGGTCAACAAATAATATACATTTTCCTTGAGAAATTTGACACACAGAGTGAACATTCGAATTAAGTGTAAGAATCCACTGGAAACCTTGTGTTATTGATTCTTGTTTCTAATACAGAGATGTGACACATTTACATGATACCATTTAAGGAAATATAAACAATTACATGATACCATATAAGGAAGTATAAACAATTACTTGTTTCTATTAAATTTATCATTAAGCTGAGGATGTCTACTGCTGTTGTTTCACAGTGTTCAGAACTCTCCAGTGCAGGAGAGGAGTATGTGCTCCTAACAGCAGGAAATGGCGGTAACCAGAAGCAATTTGGGTCTGTCAAGGGGAGACAATTCCTATTGGCCAACCAGGACTTTGCTCAGCGGTTCTTCAGCTACTGCTACAGTAAGTAAAATAGCTGCAGATCTCTCACTATGAATTTCTAACATTGTGTCGTGGATAAAATACCAGTCTACACCTTTACAGTGTTATTGTCAGAAAGATTCCAAGACAAATCCCCCTCAGGATTTTATGTTTTGTTTCCAGTACCACCCATGGAATTTCATGGACAATTTGCTTAGTAGGAAATCAAACCATGGACTCCTAAGGTTAATTGGATATTTAAAGGAAACTTCTGCAAATAATTTAAAAGAAATTCTAAAACTTAAGCATTAACATCATCAATATCAGCCTAACCATGACCTCACTCTACTTGACCTGGAGTCAATTAATGATCAGTTGCGGCTGATCTGACTGCCCCTTGGTACTGTGGTTTGTAGGCTAATTCTCTATACTCTGACTCTGATCACCAATTAACACAAGGTAGGACAGTGAGAGGGCAGTTACATTACCTTATTCACATACCAGATATGATTCTGAATCTGGCATAGATGTATTATAGGTGAAAAAATGAGTTATTTAAATGGATGGGCTTATTACCAGGCATGGCCTCATTGACAAGTAAAAACAGTATCAGGAAATCGTAGTATACTACATTCATAGAACAGGTTGCAAAATTACTTATTATCCACCTACATACTACTGCTCAGTAATCCTGTTGATTGTTTTTATCTATGCATAAATGTCATTTCAGATGCTGCCACTTCTGGTATGTACATGGGAGGCCAACCATACGGCCATACTGACGTTATGTCCATGGCGGCCAGCAGAAACTCCAGCGTGCCTGTAGGCCACGCCCACCAGCCTGTAAGTGACAGTGCTGCCAGTACTATTGCTGGTGCTCTGCAGTCTCTAGCAGCAGAGTTCCATATGGGGAGACCTCAGAATCCTGGGATGATGAATTTAGGATCGACAGGAATTGTCGGAGGTGAGGGACATCAGAACTATGACTTGGCATCACAGGAACGAGATGTTATGTCAAATTACATGGGCAGTGTACCATACAGTAATCAACACACAAACATTACCTCTGGATACCTCAACAATCTGAATCATTCAAATGTTTGTGTTCCAAATACAAATACCCACTCTAACGACTATCTCCTCAGAACAGGTATTGGAAATGAAAGTTTTACAAACCAAACGATGAACAGGGAAAATTTGATTCCTAATTTGACTGAAAGCAATGCTAAATCTCACGAAGATTTTACCAGGAGTCAGAAAGAAACAACTAAATCTGTTGGTAATGTAAGCGAAAATTCAAACTTTGTTGAGAACCCAAATAAATGTGCAAATTTTACTGACAATCAAGAGACAAATCAAAATTTGGAATCAATTTCTAAAACAGAAAAGATATTAGAAGAAGATCCCAAAAAGCAGATTGTCAATCAAACAGAGTCGTCAACTGATCAAGAAGTGACAACATCAGTTAACACAGAAAATAGTCAGGAACATGTCTCGGAAAAAAGCAATGCTGTGACTGCAAATCCTCCTGCTGAAAAGCAGTTTGACGTCTCCGATGATAGTAACTTCAGTATTGGGTTTGAGACGGACTTGAACTTACATGAGCAACAAAATAATTTGAAGTTGGTCATTAGTAACGTTGTCTCTTGTCTGGACCAAGAACAAGCTGCAGATGTCAAACACGGAGAAAATTCTACGGAGAAAACAACAAGAAATCAAGAGGACAACTGGAGGAGGAAGTTGAGAAAAAAAAGTTTGAAAGAAACCCGACAAACAAAAGCAGGAAAAGAGAAATCTCCAAGTGCAGATGAAAATGATGAATTGGAATCTGCGGGCGAGCTAACTGAAAAAGAAGAGGAAGATTATGCGATTTCTGATGAAAATGATAGTGAGGCTACAATTGTTTCCGACACAGAAACTGATGATGGGTCCTGTTTACGTGGTGCTGCAAAACGGAAGGCAGCATTTCAGTGTCATCGTTGTGGTGTTTGTCACAAAACTTTTGCAAATTCATCAAATTTACGTCGCCATGAAAAGTCACATGGTGTTCAAGGTGACCAGCGCAGGTGTACCAAGTGTAACAAGTTTGTGCTTGTGAATGATATGAAACGTCATTTGAAAACAAAGCATGCAAACGATAACAAAAGACAAAAATTACACTGTAAAGAATGTGGGAAAATCTGCATGTCAAAGTCAATTTTACGTCAGCATATTTCAAAGAAACACTCAGAGGTGAACTTCAAGTGTGACAGGTGTCACAAAACCTTCATGTCAGAAGATGCCTTCAAAAGTCACATGGTGAAACACTTAGAGAAACATTTCTGTGTAATGTGTCAACAGAATTTTCCTAACCGTGCTAGTTTAGCTCAGCACTCCGCTGAAGCACATCCAAACAGTAGTCAGATTGAGATTATCAAATGCAATGTATGTGGGCGACGGAGGGGGCAGGAACACAAGTGCCCGGGGAAGAAAATCAAAGTACCCAGAGAGTTCATCTGTCACATATGTAATAAGAAGTTTTCACGGATACAAAACCTTAATCTTCATCGCCGAATACACAGCGACAACCGTACCAAGCTGAAGTGTGACCAGTGTGACAAGCTGTTTTCTGATAGGTGTAGTTTGAAAAAACACATCAAATACGTACATAGTGCGGAAAGAAATTTCATCTGTGATGTGTGTGGAAAGTCCTTCAAACAGAATGATACTTTAAAGAACCATGTAAGAATTCATGCTGAAGAAAAGACCGATGAGTTTAAGTGTGATCTTTGCTCTAAGTTACTCTCCAGTAAGTCTGCATTAAATGTTCATCAGCGTTCTCACACGGGAGCGAAACCTTACATGTGTGAAATCTGTGGTATGTCCTTCCGTCAAGTGGCCAATATGAGGAAGCACATGTTGATTCATACGACTGCTAAGGCCAACCAGTGTGACCTCTGTGGCAAAGAGTACAAATACCGTGACTCCTGGAAGGCTCACATGAGGAGTCACGTCATCAAAGAAGGTCTGCGACACGAGGTCATCAAAACCAAATACGGGAAGGTGTATAACTGTGAATACTGCCAGAAACAATTCTCTACCGCCTCACAGTACAAAGTCCATCTCCGAACACACACCGACGAACGACCATTCAAATGTGACTTGTGTGAAAAGGCTTTTAAAGAAAAGGGTAAGCTGAGTCGCCACATGAATCGTGTGCATGTCCATTCTCAAGTGTTATCCCTGCATCCTCATCAAAAGGTGTCTATGGACAGTCGAATTGTTGTACCTGTACCGAATGACCAAATGTTCTACACAGGTGTTGTAGCTGGGGTGTAAATATAACAACACTAAAGGAACTTCTCATGGTATGTACAATGCCAGAACAGTACTGTTGATGATAAACATCCCATATTACACGTGTAGCCAGAGGCTACATGTAGATATAGCTGTGTCCTGTACAGGAGCTGTTGTTTACATGTAAGAAAGTTGTGTCCTGTACAGGAACTGTTGTTTACATGTAAGAAAGCTGTGTCCTGTACAGGAACTGTTGTTTACATGTAAGAAAGCTGTGTCCTGTACAGGAACTGTTGTTTACATGTAAGAAAGCTGTGTCCTGTACAGGAGCTGTTGTTTACATGTAAGAAAGCTGTGTCCTGTACAGGAGCTGTTGTTTACATGTAAGAAAGCTGTGTCCTGTACAGGAACTGTTGTTTACATGTAAGAAAGCTGTGTCCTGTACAGGAACTGTTGTTTACATGTAAGAAAGCTGTGTCCTGTACAGGAACTGTTGTTTACATGTAAGAAAGCTGTGTCCTGTACAGGAACTGTTGTTTACATGTAAGAAAGCTGTGTCCTGTACAGGAACTGTTGTTTACATGTAAGAAAGCTGTGTCCTGTACAGGAACTGTTGTTTACATGTAAGAAAGCTGTGTCCAGTGGCCCCAGTTGTTCAGAGGCTAGTTAGAGATGATCACTCGTTAGGGAAGTTATGTTAGTCACACAAAATATGAAAATTCTTTTTTGAGCAGTAGAATTGTGTGTTTTCACAACCACTGGTTACTCTGTGTAACCTTAATTGTATCTAACCTTGACTCTATCTAACCTTAGCTTTATCTAAACTTAATTATTTCTAAACTTAACTCTATCTAACCTTAACTCTATCTAACCTTAGCTTTATCTAACCTTAATTCTTTCTTAACTTCACTCTATCGAACCATAACTCTCTCTAACCTTAACTCTATGTAACCTTAGCTTTATCTAACCTTAATTCTTTCTAACCTTAACTCTATCTAACCTTTCTAACCTTAGCTTTATCTAACCTTAATTCTTTCTAAACTTAACTCTATCTAACCTTTCTAACCTTAGCTTTATCTAACCTTAATTCTTTCTAACTTAACTCTATCTAACCATAACTCTCTCTAACCTTATCTAACCATAACTCTCTCTAACCTTATCTAACCATAACTCTCTCTAACCATAACTCTCTCTAACCTTAACTGTCTTTAACCTGAACTCATCTAAGCCCTTTAAGCAACCACAGCCATGTTGTCTTCTGGACAACACTTAGACACTGGAGTCAAGTATTTTGTGTATTGGAAACAAAACTGACTTCACTTGATTATAATAAAGCCGGTGATATATTGGTGCCAGATGTGACTTCTGATCCGGTCGATATATAACAGCTCTGTTACGAAGTTTGCCGGGAATGATGTTGTTTGCATATAAAACTTTATGCACTGTAAGCTTGTAAATCTTCTGTTTTATCACATCATTTGTAACTTTTGAGTGTTATTTCCTGGTTTATTTATTTTGATGTGAGAGATAAAAACGCTATGCCTTTTAACAAACTACAGCAGGTCGTCTGTTGGTAAAATCATTGAATCATTCTGTTGAAATTGACTGGTTTTATTATGAATTTACAATGTAGTGTGAAAAATACATTGTGGTATAGGTCAGATAAAGGTATTAATCCTGGGAAACATAACCGTGGTTTATAACTCAGGTTAGGGAGACCTGATCAGGGTACATAGGTCAGATTAAGGTACTAACTCTGGGAAACATAACCTTGGTTTATAACTCAGGTCAAGGAGATCTGATCAGGGTACTGAAACATCAGTCAATATTAGTGTGCTGAATATCATCCATTGGTGATTAGAGTGTAAATAACTCTGTTATGGTACTAGATTACCCTCAGCTGAGGTGATGTGCATCGTCAAAGACACAACTATATACAATGGTCAAAAATGTAATTTGGGAGATGCGGGGGGGAAGGGGGGGGATATTGAAAGGAAACATTGCACCTTAAAATCTTGTATATTGTTTGATATGTGAAAAGTTGGTCTATATATAGACTTGTGTGATAGGTGAAAAGTTGGTCTATTTTTAGACTTGTGTGATAGGTGAATAGTTGGTCTATATATAGACTTGTGTGATAGGTGAAAAGTTGGTCTATTTTTAGACTTGTGTGATAGGTGAAAAGTTGGTCTATATATAGACTTGTGTGATAGGTGAAAAGTTGGTCTATATATAGACTTGTGTGATAGGTGAAAAGTTGGTCTATATATGGACCGTTCTATGCAATGTTGTTAGGTGATGCGTAATATTGTTAGTATGGTGGATTAAGGCACACAGCACATTGTGATATATCTCGTAATGAGAGATTTATCAATTAATGATTTTAAAAAAGATTATAAAATTGATTTGTAAATCTCACCACACAATGACAGTACTATGTATAGTGGTCATATGTTAAAGTTTTAATTGGTAGAACTGGAGTTAAAATTTAGATTTTAAGATACAAACTGATTGACCCCATGGTAATCTGTACACAATTAGCCCGTTATAGAGTGTAATCTAAATCTGTCTTCCGTCCTTATCAAAATAAATGATGATATTTGATATATTTATAAGCCTTCTGTGGGTATATACCTCCTTCATGCTTTGTACGATGTGTTTAATACACTGGGTAGATTTTTTTAGTTCAAAACTGAGAAAAAATGGTTCTGTGTTACTGGTGACCTGAAATGTCAAACATATCAGTTTAGCTTCGTTTGTTAGGATTGGTTGATAACACATTACTGTAAAGTCATTAATTTCCGTGGGCATTTATTTTTGTGGAATTTATATCTAAACAAATAAAAGTTGACATGGGTTATATAGTACGAGTGGATTTTGTGAGCAAGGTTCATCAACGAAGTCAAATGCCAACTTATATCAAGTGTTTATATTTGGAAAACCTCCAAATTAAATTCCCACAAAAAATTATTTTAGTGTCAGATCACTTAAAACATCGACTTTATATTATTTAAAGATTACTGCATAGTAACATTTATATCAGTATATGGAAATTCATTGTTCATTCTCACTGACTCTTTCTCTCTCTCACCTCTCTCTCACTGACTCTCTCTCTCTCTCACCTCTGTCTCATTGACTCTCTCTCTCTCACCTCTCTCTCTACTGACTCTCTCTCTCTCTCTCTATCTCTCTGACTCTCTCTCTCTCTCTCTCACTGACTCTCTCTCTCTCTCACCTCTGTCTCTTTGACTCTCTCACCTATCTCTCACTGACTCTCTCTCACCTATCTCTCCCTGACTCTCTCTCTCTCTCACCTATCTCTCACTGACTCTCTCTCTCACCTATCTCTCACTGACTCTCTACTATCTCTCACTCCCTTTTCTTCCTCCCTTCCTTTTTTCTCCTCTCTCTTTCACAACTCAATGTATACACATGCATCTCATTCACTTTGTACAATACAATACAATGTGCAATATAACAAAGTAGAATGAAACATCCAATGTCAAGAGAACTAAAAGGCAGTGTTTGTACAAGGTGATCAGCTGCCTTAGGTCTGTCTGTGCGGTTTGTCTCCCTTTCTGGTTGTACAAGTATCATACATTCTGTCTTCTAGTCTCAACATCTGGTTTTTCCATATATTGGTACAAATATTGTAATTGTTCAATTAAGTATTTTTCACAAATATAAACTGATGGACCATGTGCTGGATAAGAAAACTTGAAATACTACAATATTTGATTGTGTTATTTTTAAGTGATTACTGAGTGTACTGTAATAACTTTGATCCATTGTTTCTGTCGTAAACTCTGTCATATATTATCAGTCCAGGGTTTTCCATAATTTTGTTAGTAGTAGGCTGTGTAGTGAAAGTAGGAGGCTGGCCTGCCGTGTATGGAACATTATTACGGAACTGGATCGATGTAGGCGGCCAAATGATCAAAGTAGCCAGTCAAATTGGTCGGCGACCGGCTCTTATGGAAAACCCTGTCAGTCACTCAGGTTTTTTGTCATCCCATTGTATGGAGCTGTTGTGTTGAAAGATATGAAGAATTTAAGTAGTGTTTTACAATGCAGGACATTTTCTGTGTGATTTTAGGTAGAAACATTTTATGCATGCCATATTGAATTACTTTTGAACGTTTATATTGAAGTATGATGCAGCTGGTATTGGCTTTGTATATTTATATAGAACTATATACATGTATAACTTATAACTATATGTTATTTACAGACAAGAGGTGCCAAATATTTTTTCACTTTGTCATAAGTCAAATGTAGATAAATTGTGCATGCCTTTTTTATTGTCATATATATTCGTACTTTATATTGTGAAACTTGTACATAAACATAGCACATTAACCAACTATTATGTTTTCAAAGGTCTAAGATTTCCACTGTTATATATATACCTACTGTACCTAGTAAGATACAAATGTAGACCCTCAAAGTGACAATCATTTGATTAATTTGAATCTCAGCGAAATCAAAGATGAACCTGCAGCTGTACCCTTGACCTTCCTCTCACCAACCCCTGGTAGGATGTCTGGTACTAGGTCCAGACAAACCCAGGTACTAGGTCCAGACAAACCCTGACAAACTCTGGTACTAGGTCCATACAAAACCTGGTACTGGGTCCATACAAACCCTGGTACTAGGTCCAGACAAACCCTGGTATGAGGTCCAGACAAACCCTGGTACTAGGTCCAGACAAACCCTGGTACTAGGTCCAGACAAACCCTGGTTCTAGGTCCAGACAAACCTTGGTTCTGGGTCCAGACAAACCCTGGTTCTAGGTCCAGACAAACCCTGGTACTAGGTCCATACAAACCCTGATACTAGGTCCAGACAAACCCTGGTTCTAGGTCCAGACAAACCCTGGTACTGTGTCCATACAAACCCTGGTTCTAGGTCCAGACAAACCCTGGTACTAGGTCCAGACAAACCCTGGTTCTAGGTCCAGACAAACCCTGGTACTAGGTCCAGACAAACCCAGTTATGGTGCTCCCTGATTTAACTATAGTGATGTCCCTGTCCTTTTCACCGTCCACAGATA